ATTGAGAGTATGGGAAATTATTTTGATTAAAGAACATTGCTTTAAAGTAACTAGTTTCTTTTTTTTTTTGTTTAATACCAAAATCCTGCATTATTTTCCGGACAACCCAATATTTCTCAAATATTATAATAATAATTGCCCTCTTCATTAGGACTGAAATTATTATTAATAATTCACAAGTTTAAATAAATATTACTTAAAAACCTAGAATTATACAAACACAATACATTGAACGAAGAAACCCGTGGCACACAAAATCAACAGAAACTCACAACTTCACAGTATTTACTGACGTATAAAAATAAGTCGGTTAAGTAAAATAGCAAACAGACAAACCACCAAGATGGTGAAGTGTCTAAAAACGTCCGACATACCAAAACAGCGAAGATCGTTGGACCAATGTGATTGTAAAGGACCAAGCTGCAGGTTTTAACCTGCATAAAAACATCTATTTGCCCCTTCTAAATGCCTAAGATTTTTTTTTTCGAAATTAACAAAAATGTACATAACTTTCAAACGACTTCATCGATCCAAAGGAAATTTAGCAAGGGTTTAGAACCTCATAAACATCACTTAATAGCATAAATCTGGCCCCCGTAAACAAATGAGAAATGGGGATATAAAATAAAACGTTTAACGTTTTTATTGTCGATTTCATTCTTATTTTTCTCACTTTTAAAAACATAAAATTAACCTTTATACGGTAATATTGTTGAATTTTATTAAAATTGAGAATAGTTATGAATTTTTAAGTGGATTGTCACCTTAAGTTTAATTTGTCACCTGCGAATCTAGAAAAAAAAATTATCCTATACAAATTCTTATTTAAGGACGGTTAAATCAAAGTTGTAAATATTTTTAAAATATTCAATATTTTTTCTTATATCTTCCAGATGCTCAGATTTTTTTTCATAATTCACAAAATTAGTGATATCTTTAAAACGACTTCACAAACTCACGGAAACCTGCAAAGAAAAGGATAATGAAACTGTTCAAGTTAGACGTGACACAAACGAAAATGAAATTTTAAAATATAAGGCAAAACACTCCTCCACCCACAATTTCAGAGATCTTAAATTGGAAACTTTATGTGTTTAGAACCCTGTAAACAGACGTTCTCCTAAAAACCAGGCGTCAATAAATAAATTAGAATTGGAGATATAAAATAAAACGTTTGAAGAGTTTTTGTGGATTTCCACCTCATTTTTATAACTTATAATGAAACCTTTGTGGAAAAGGTTGAAAGAGGAGAAACTAAACTTTGTGACTGTTGTATTATTATTGAATTTGGATAAAATCCAGAAAATTTATCATTTTTTAAGTGGGGGATAAATTGACCACCCTGGAATCAAGCCCAAAAAAATGTATCTTTTTACTATGAAAATTCGTATTTAAGGGTTCTTAAGGGGTGCTTAAAAGGAGTTGCACCCTCTCTCTGTTGATCTACAGCCTATAGATAATTTAATTTAGAAAAAAAGAACGAATTCGACCATATCCATTGAAATGCAATATATACCTAATTGTTCAGTGAGCAACCTAGCACAGTATGTTAAAAAAAATTTTGTTAATACATACAAACATAAAAATATAGCAAGAAACAAAGTAGTTAGCCTATTTTTGACCTTAAAACCCCGAATACGAATTTTTGGATTAATAAAAAAATATCATTTTGATGACTCCACCGATTCACAGGAAGGTTTACAGGTGTTTAGAACCCTATAAACCACATGCAATGGAACAAACATGGTTTCCGAAAAAAAAATCAAACCCGAAGGTATAAAATAAAACATTTTTGGAGTTTTTGTGTATTTCAACCTTACTTTTCTCACTTAAAATTAAATAAAATCTAAAACTTGTTGGCAAAGGCTGAAAGAGGAGAAAACGTTTGTAATGTTGTAAACGGTTGTAGATAATATTGTTGAATTTGGTTAAAATCTAGAGAATTTTTTTTTTAATGAAGCACCGTGAAAATTCGTATATAAGGATTTTTCATTGCGCTTAAAACGAAATCGAATTTTGTTTTTCAATAAACCATTTTTTTATCTGCTTTACTGTAAACATCTTTTGGATTTTGTTACTTTTTTATATCTAATATTTTTTAACTTTTCAACTGATATTTAATAGCCTAGGTAATACACGCATAACAAAGAAAGAAAACCACATCAAAGAAAATTTAATTCAACTTACTTAAAACTTTATATTTCTAGGGTCCATTGACAAGAACGCTGGAACACGTGTCTAATATTTGTAGACCTAGTATCGTCAAAAAAATTTCATTAAAATTTGTGATCAAACCTTCAAAGCCTCTCCTTGTGAGAAAATAAACCAGCATTCAATGAAAAAGATAAAAAATAAAGTTTATAATCACAGAAAGGTAAACAGAGATTTATGGATGTGAGAGTATATTTATTTTTTAATTTTATTACTGTTTTATTAATTATCAGTTTTAACTGTATGCGATGGAAATAAGTTTATAGTGTACGACTGTCATTTTGTAATTTCCTGTTTCAAAAAAATCGATGGAAATCACATTCGCGACGATTTTTTCGCGTTTGAACCGATAGCGGTCCAAATCGGCCGGAAGATCCTTATCTAAAAAAAAAAGTCCACAGCTACTTGTAGCGGTTTTGAAAGGGGGTGGTCGGTGTAATTGGGAAAGGGCCGCCTGTTGCTTGTTGTGAGAACGCGGAAAGGGTGCCCAGGTGGGGTTCCCACGGGTGACTCCTAAGGCGCAAGAGGATATGCACTGGGTGGGGGCAGCACGGCAGTCCAGATCCCTCTCGTCCTCAGAACTGTGCTGATCATCAAGGGTTGACATGCATCTCGCCATGTCCTCGTATCAAAACAACCCTTATGGATTATCGAAAGCCGATATCAGGAAGGTGAGTACTGTCATTTTTATAAGAGAAATTACATCGGGGACAAAAATTATTTGGGCAGTGATTTTTTTTTTTTTTTTTTTTTTTTTTATCAGGCTGAAGTAAATGATATCAATCGATTGGAATTTTATTTGTTTCTAGTTATTCTTCATTATTCATTAGATATAATAACATTTTCAATTTACACGTTAATACATAGTTTTAATAATAAAATAACACTTTTTGCTGTTATCGCAAAAAAATAAGTAAATCAAAAAGACAAACTTGATAATTCGTTACTGAAAGTTCGTCTATCTTTCCAGTTTTACATAACAACTTATGGCCAAATTTATGTAAACTATTAACTTTCTTTTAGATTCAAATTCAATGGTATATCTGAAATAATATCCTTGCAATAGTTTAAAATCCAGGGTCTTTTCCCATTGATATAATAGTAATGCTTGATATCCTTCTAATATCCTATCGTAATCAATGATTCTCTTGTTGAAAATAGTTCGAAAGGTTTTTAAATTTTTTGCAGCTGGAAAAAAAATCCGTCGGCCGCCAGTTCAAAATTTTTGAAATCTTCAATGTTTGCTAATCGAGTACATCGGACTAACAAAATTTGGGTTTTAATTTGCCAACATCTCTATCGGGTGATGGATTTTGTTTTTCGGCATTCAGCTGTCCGGTGTTGTGGTTATTCGCCTCGCCCTGCTTACATCCCTGATGCAATGTTGTATGCTTCAATCCGTTTAAGGTTTTATACAAAATGAAAAACGTGCATCTAGTGAATATGGTGATCTTTCTTCCAAAACAGCGAAGATAGGCGGACCAGAATGACGAGAAACGACCAAACTAAAACACATCACCCTGCAGAGGTTTTTTCCAACAAAGATTCAATAAAATAAAAATATTTTTAAAAAATGTTCATACATTAATGCATCGATTTGTCATCAAATGACATAAGAACCAATTGTGCAAATAATTTTTGTCCTCGGTGTATTTGCTTAGTGACGAAAATCGATTTGAACTTGGCAAATTTACGAAAAACAAAAAAATTCTGTTGTATTTTCACCGTGTCCAAATATGTATCATTTATTCTATAAAAATTCCATTCGTTCAAAAAAATTATCTACATAATTTTTTTATCAAATTCCTCTAAGTTCAGTAGCCGTGTCCGTTACACTTCTGATTTATAAACAAAACAAAATTAGTACGATTTTTATTTAATAAAGTATGTCAAAAAACATTTTAGACAATCATGTCATTGGTTTTGAAAGGTTCACTTAATTGGCAATGCTCAACGAGATTTTCCCGCCAATTTACTCCTTGAGCAAACATTTCTCCTAACGGGCCAAAATTTGAAATGATTATTTCAAAAACGTATAAATTGTGAATCTCTTGGGGTCTGCGGGTTGATGAACTTGCACTTTGGTCGTATCTGATCATTTTAGTATGCAAACATCACTGTTTTGGTCTATCAGGCGAGTTTCAGCTTCCTCCCATCTGCCCCTGCCTCTCCCTGCTTATAACCTTGATGTCACACGGAGGGATAACAAGGGGATAACAATTTAGAAAGTGTGATCCGCTTGGGTATGTTGATGATCTTGCACATGTCGTACCTGTTCGTTTTGGTCTTGTTATCATCACTGTTTTGGCCTGCCAGGGCGTTTCGGCTTCCTACCATCCGACCCTCTTCTTTATACTTTGTAACTTTGTAAACGTATATTCCTGATTCCACGAACTGAAGGGGATAAAAAAATTTAGAAGTTGTAAACCTCTTGGGGTAAACGGGTTGATAACCTCGGTCGTTTCTGAGCATTCTGGTCTTCCTACCATCTCTGTTTTGGTCTGTCGGAAGGGTTTCAGCTTTTCACCATCTGCTCCTATATCTCCCAGTTTATGTCACGCCTTTAAGAGACAAGAATTTGAAAATTGTAAACCTCTTGGGGGTCTTCGGTTTGATAAGCATGTATTTCGGTCTTTTGTGATCATCTTGGTCTGCCAAACTTCGCTGTTTTGGCCCGTCAGAGTTCAGACGCGTTTCGGCTTCTCGCCGTTCGGCGCCTGCCTCTCCCTGTTTATATCCTTGATTTCAAGCATAGGTGAGAATTTGCAGATCGTCTGATCCCAACACTGAAAATGGCGAGAATGAGTAGATTTCTTGATGATTATTGCACGATACAACGCATACACAAGTGATAATACGGGCAAAAATGTTGTACTATTGTACCGTTGCTTACCAATGAGATAACACGGAACGGGCAAATGCAACAAGTGGATGCAAGGCTTGATACGAGCAGTCGGTAAGACGGGCCAATAAATGAGCCTATTGTAGAAAATGGTTCGAAAGGTTTTTAAATTTTTGCGGCTGGACAAAAAGAAAAAAAATTAGTTAACCACCAGTCCAAAATGTAATTTGTTTCACGTGTTCGTTGGCGAAATGTAACAGGCCGGTGATTGAAAGGAAATGGTGCGATGGCGAGCTGAGATACTTTCCCACGCACCTTAGCCACGGGCATGTGACTTCTTCAAGTTTCAAGTCTAGGGTGTTTTTGTCCTCTCTCTCTCTCACACACACTCTCTCTCTCTCTCTCTCTCTCTTCCTCTCTCTCACTCTCTCCCCCGTCCCTCTCTCTTCCTCACTCAATTTATTAATCTCTTGTTCTTTCATTCTCTATATATTTAAGTCCTCTCATTCTAACTTTATTAATCTATCTCTCCCTCTATCTATTTTTCTCAACTTGTTTTTCTCTTTCGTTTTCCTTTCTTTTTCTCTCTCTCTTTCTCACACTCTCTCCCCCTCTCTCTCTCACTCCTTCCCTCTTTCTCTCACTCTCTCTCTCTCTCTCTCTCTCTCTCTCTCTCACTCACTCACTCACTCACTCACTCACTCACTCACTCACTCACTCACTCTCTCACTCACTCACTCACTCACTCACTCACTCACTCACTCACTCACTCTCTCTCACTCACTCACTTTATTAATCTCTTGTTCTTTCATTCTCTCTATATTTAAATCCACTCACTCTAACTTTATTAATCTATCACTCCCTCTCTCTATTTTTCTCAATTTGTTTTTCTCTTTCGTTTTCCTTTTTTTCTCTCTCTCTCTCTCTCTCTCTCTCTCTCTCTCTCTCTCTCTCTCTCTCTCTCTCTTTCTCTCTCTCTCTCTTCCTCATTCTTTCTCTCTCTCATTTACCTCCAATCGAACAATAATTTTTTGTTTTTTCCACCCCGGATTGACTTAATGAAGCAATATTTAGAGTAACTCCATTTTTGACCAGAGTAAATGTGTATGTTTGGAAAATCTATTTTAAAGTATTCCAATAAAAAAGGGATGGTTTTTGCTATCCTAAACGAATAAATTGAATTTAGGCATGAAACAACCTATTTAATAGTTAATACCACAATAAGGTTAAATTTTTTGCATTAATATATTCTTGTATTGAAATGCAATAAATCTATTCTTTAAAAAAAAATCTATTTTTTGAATATTGTATGGATAAAAAAGTGAAAGCATTTTTTTAAGATGAAACAATAACTTGCTTTTTGTTTCAGAGTAATAAACCAATAATGGAAAAGAAAAGGAGAGCAAGAATTAACCATTGTTTGAATGAGCTGAAGTCCCTTATATTAGACGCTATGAAAAAAGATGTATGTTTTGACGCATCTATATTTTATGAAAAAAATTCTTAAATAATTATCTTGATTGTTTTATTTTAGCCTGCTCGTCATTCCAAGTTGGAAAAGGCAGACATCCTCGAGATGACAGTTAAACACCTGCAAGATGTACAAAGAGAACAGATGCGAAGTGCAGTTTCTGCCGATCCGACTGTTATCACAAAATTTCACAGTGGATTTTCTGAGTGTGCGACTGAAGTCGGACGATACGTATCAGGCTTGGAGGGAGTCGATGACGGCGTGAAGAGGAGGCTTCTGGGACACTTGACTGGTTGTGTTTCCGGCCTGAGTCAAGTTTTACCTTTGGCGACAAGTCAGCCAAGCCCTGAGGACGTTAACAACAATAGCAACATGACTGCGCAGAGGATCTTAAATGGCCTCCAGCTCATACCTAGCAGGCTGCCTTCCGGGGAACTTGCGATACTCCTTCCAAGTATGCCAGAGCACCGTTCTGCCTTCAAAGCTGTCGCGAGATCACCGCCTCCTTTAAGTCCGATCTCGACTGATTCAATCGGTTCGGATCATGTCACATCTACATCACCAGATTTGCCCCACAAGAGTCTTGAAGCGGCACAGCAAGAATCGCCAGCCTCTACAAGCACAGACATGTGGAGGCCGTGGTAATTTAACAAAACCTTCGACTGGCAACAGGAGTTACCACTGATAAACAATTGCAGTACATATTAATTTATTACTTATACACAATGGGACTGATTGTGCATTAAATATGATTGATTTATTAATTTTTTAAATTCTCTAAACATTATCAACATCAATCAATGTTCAAACCAATCAATTTCAGTGTTCTTTGAATTGTAACAAACCCAATAAGTTTGATGATTATATTATTTTATACAGTTTTTAAAATTAAGTAACTTGTTATATTGTTGTTCGTCTCTGTTACAGTTATGAAAAATGGTCAATCCACATTTTCTTGTTAGTTGTTTTCAAAATAGTTCTGTTATTTTTCCGAGTTGCTTATTAATTGTTTGCAGTTTCGATATACAATGCTGATCTCATTTCGCCAAATTTCCATTCTTTTGGACATATTTTTGTCATGTTAAATAGTTTTTAAATTGTACATAATTGTAAATATTTTTGTATAACTTTTGTTTACAAATATTTTAAAAAGTAGTAAGTAGAAATGTTCGTTTAAAAAATATAAATTATTTAATTTTTAAACATATATTGTTTCGTTGATACAATCATGGACCTCATGTAAAGAAAAAATACATTATGTCAAATTAATTGTGCGACTTGTTTTTATAGACTTCCAATTCAAATTTTGAAGGAGAGCACATGAAGTACCATTAAAACCATTTTCAAATCTGTTAAACCACCTCCACAGTTTGATCATCCTGTTTCCTCCCCTTCAAATTGGACAACCAAAACATTTGGTGCCAGAAGTAATTTTTTTCAAAAGCAGATTTGTGATATTTCTATATACTGACCTGACTTCTATATGCATAACCCCTACACGGGTATATTCAATGACCTCCATTTGTAGAACCTGTGAGGAAGCAACTGTCATCCATACTAATTTTGATTGAGAAGCAACCACTCAATAGACATAACCTAGAGTACAAGAACCCAGGAAAATGATTAGCAAAGACCTAGAGAAACCATACTACTCGGGAACCCAACCTAATATCCTCTCATAATCAAGCCTCATGTCATAACTTTTTTTATCTATTGAACCACCTCCATAGATTGATTATTCAATTTCCTTCCCTTCAAATTGGACAGCCCGTGATTTCAGCAGCTATAAACTTCCTTTTCCAGTAATGATAGTTCTAGGATGTAATATTTTTCTAAATGATTTGCGTATCATCAAAGATTTTCGAAGGCAGACAGGTTTTTAAAAATAATAGGAAATTGAAAAAAAGGTCATTTTTATTAATTCACCCTAATATTATAATGTAAGGTTTTAAAATGTAGGTATTAATTTAAACATTTTATTGTATTTTCTTTGTAGACAGCCCTCATCGTACCAATGTGGAGAATAATTAATACCTATTCACAAGTGTGAGACCACTCACACCCAGACCTAAGATTCTGGCAGTGAACGTGTCTCACATGTGTGAGTGGTAGATTTAATTTAAATTGTACACAATTTAAAAGGTAAACTGTCAAATTTCAAGAATTTATAGGCATTTGAATGAAAAAACAAAATCATTAACAGAAATTCAGGCCCAGGAAACATTTTGACGTATGATGCTCCGCAGTCAATATATTAATTAGGCCAGTTTTGTTTTTAATTTGGCACAATCGCCAAAACTTTGAATGTGCTCTATAAACTAATCTGTACGCAAGAAAATAAACGTAAAAGGCAAGAATTAAAAGTATGTGTTTTATCTATTTCACTTTAAGTACAAAACGTAATATAATCTGAATGTACATTTATTACGAAGGCACAGGGAAAAAAATATTTATTACAATTTAAATAGTGTATTTTTTTAAATGATAAATTATTCTCAATATACTTGTATCCTGTGTCATTCTCACCAAAAATGAATTATGTCAGTTTTGTGACATTTGAGGGTAAGGACAGTTTTAAAAAATTGTTCTCCTTTTTATTTCACATCATTCATTATTAATAAAGTGACTCAGAGTTTGTTGATCTCGGTTTCTTGATCTTCTCGAGGTTCTTGATGACGATGTCATGTAATGTCGAGTACCTGTTTCTTACCTCGCACATTATCAACCACATACTTAAATACTCCTTTTCATCGAGCTCTTTTACTGCTTGTCGGTAGTCTTCCACATGGGGATATTTTGCTACCTAAAAAATTCAACAAAGTTATACAAAACTTATAATATTTATGGCAATTTCCAATAGCTTTTTCAAAAAGTCGACTATTATAAGTTTTGACAAGTTACCTTAGAGATGACTTTTGCACGGGAGCAAAAATATCTCGAGATTTGATCAAAGAAAGCGGCAGCCTCAGATTCTACCGACTGAATTTCAGCCAATGTCTCTTCTTGGACAGACACGCCGAAATTGTTGCCATCTTCAATTTTTGGAATCATAAACGATATCCACATCTTAAGCTGAAATTATACATCGTTACATGACAAAATGATATGTAAAAATTTAAAAACGTTACCAAGTTGGCGTCCTCGACAAGCTGTTTAATATGTGGTTTTACAGTCCTTATAACATGCAGAAGAACTTGGTTGCAAGGGACTGGCCCGCTCTCCAGGGCCATGACCTTCGTCCCTTCGACGCAATTCGCTAGTGCATCAGTTTTTAACTTTTTTGGTGCCGGTTCACTATCATTGTCATTACAACTAAAAGAATAAAAATAACAAAAATAAGTAATCTACTATCATATTTTTGTTTATAATTGTACTGTTTACTTGTTAAATGTAATTGGTTCAGGAATGGGAATGTTGACAGCCTGGTAGACTTTTGATAAATTCTTTTCGTTTAATTGAGGCGATTCTAATATTTCATTTAACAAAACTATTTTTTCTGGGAATCCTTTTAATATAAGCTGTTCTGCCTTAAGAATCAAACTATCTTTGAATTGCTGCACCTAGAAAAGAAATTATTACATTTGTCTCTAATAATCAAGAATGGTAAGTTTTTATTTTATTTACACAGCTCTTTTGAATTAAACACGTTTTGAATTTCAAGTTATGATACAATAAGTTCAAATAAATATTCACATAACGAACAAAGAAAATTGGAAAATTAGAATACCATCAATAATACCGTACCATCTCAGAGGAAAGGGAGAAGAAAAAAAAAGACAAGCACAAATATTCAATGAAACCTGAAGTTAAGGTAAAATGGAGTCTGCTTCTTTACGCCCTTGCACACCACAACCAATAATGGTCTAATGTGATATCTCCATTATTATCTAGAACTTCTCGTAAAGCTTAAGGTTTTTTATCAGATCACAAATTGATATCTATCAATGAGTAGGAATCGACCTGTACAGGCCCTCACACTAACGGAGGACATATTCCTGTTTCTTCTTCTTTCTGGTAATATTTTCACAGTATGCTCTGAATCTGTAAATATGCCTCTGCAGATGGCGATGTCCAGTTATCAGCCCTTCTATCATTACAGTTCCAAAAAAACCTAAGTCCTCTCTGTCCTGGAATACTGCCCTATTCTACTGAGTAATTATTCTTGAACCATTGTCTTATTTACGTTTTGGGCAATTTGGTATGCCACAAAAGGGTGCAGGGCTGATAGGTCTTCACTGAACTTTCCTTAGCCAATTTATCGCCTCCTCATTGCCCTGGTACCAAAACTTGTGTAATTTTGTTGTTGTCCCAAATGAATGACAGGGCCTTGATGCAATCCCAAAAGGTTCTAGACTTTACTACTGATGAGGTAGTTAGTTGCCTTTAGTGCTGCCTAGTTGTCCGATTAAATGTCTATTTCTTTGTTGTTCAAAGATGACCATTTAACCAGGAAAGAGCCACACAAATAGCAAGATATTGAAATAAGCTGTGCTACTGAAGTTTTTCAAAGACTGGTGCAAGGATCATATATCATACGAACTACCCAAATCTATGACAAAACATAATCCAAGGTTAGAAACAATAGTGCAATTTGCAACAATTTGAAAGCAATAAAATCTGTGACGGGATAACTAAATAGAAAATGAAGTATCGGAGAGAATACAAGAGGACAAATGAACAAACTTCAGTGTAATCCTCAAAACAGAGATCTCTACCAATGATTCAAGTCAAACTTGATCCTAATCAACAAAGAAAAATATCCACTGCCAATATGAAAATTAGCTCGACTACAAAAACTGCCATGTTCATAAATTTCTAAGAAGGAAAACAATGATTCACTGTCTTATTCAAGAAATTTTGTATAAACAGATAATATTAATATTTACAGATTTTTGAATCATGTAATCCAGTTGGTTTTTCCTTTTACCAAACTGAGGTTAGAAAAATCATCAAAACACTTTTTGTAATATCAAGATTAGTCATCGTGCAACAATTCTATTGTCCAACGATTTTTTTTTTTTTTTAATGAAATGAGAAGGGACTAGGAATGATCTAACCTTACTTGTTTACAGGTTAATATTAACATTTAACAGTTGTTTGTTTCTACAACACACAAACTTCAACAAAGAATACTGACATAATTTTGGATAGGGTCTCTCACTACGCTTGTCATTTTCAGACCGTCCAACACAATATTTTGAGCATTGGTTCAAGGAATCTAGCACTATATGAAGATAGTGATGAATCAAGATCGTTAACAAAAGCCAACATATCATTTTTATTGTGAGATTCCTCTGTGTGGTCTGTGGGGTGATGCACCTGTAATACAGTCAATACCAATTGTCCTGGCCTATCGGATGAGTTTCAGCATTTTGCCTCTCCTAAATTATACCCTTCATACCAAACAAAAAAAGGCAGGGTTAAACCATAAAGGTGGTGAAATGCCGAAATGTCGACAGATCAACTTGACATGGCTAAGCAGACCAGGATGATCGATTTTAGTTTGGCCATCTACAAAAATTTTGGTTTGCCTATCCCTTTTGTTCTGTTGTGTGGCAGCGCAAAGTTGCGTAAGGCAATGCACTCGACAGTTTCAAATATGTTTAGGCTTCTCGCTATGTTCAGTATTCACCTATACTCTTTGAAAATGCTGCATCACATCTGGCAGACCAATATCAGCAAGAGAGGCAGACGAGGATGACCCCTAATGACCAATTTACACATATTTTTAGTTTGGTAGCCTACGATCATTTTGGTATATATATCCTCACTGATTTGTTGTGAGACAGGCACAAATGGCAGCAAGCCAAAATACATGTGACAGACCATTCCATGTGCCTAGGCTTCTCTACATTTCAGTGGTCTGATGGTCCATGTAATACCAAGGATATAAGTAGGTTGAGATCAGGCTATATGGTGATAAGCTGAAATTCATCTGACACACCTAAATAGAATTAACAGGCATACTAAAATTAGTGAGAACGAGTTTGAACTACAGGTTCATCACCACACAGAACCAACAGGAAATCTCAAAATATAATTTTTATTTATTGTCATCGTACCCCCCACAATTATACTCCACGAGACTCCATCATCGACTGGAAATTTGGTTAAAAGAACTCAACATCGCACTCTAACCTTGCTGTTTTGTTGTAAGCTTACACATGACAGCAAGTTCCCCACATGCAGACTTCTCATCATTTCAGTGTTGGGCCTGATGATTCACATGGGTATACCAAAATGATCAGAAATGATGTAACTGTAGGTTCATCAAACTGGGTTCATCAAACTGCAGACAACATAATTTTTATTCAATGGCCCACTAACCCCCTCCAATTATACATTGCACAAGGGATTGCAAATTTGGTTAAAAGTTGTGACACACACATGGCAGCAAGTTCCAGACATGTCTAGGATTTGGCCTGCACAGTACCAAGGATATAAGTAGGGAGAGACAGGTTATAGTGAGAACTCAAAACTCATCTGACACACTAAAATGATCAGAAATTACATAACTATAGGTACATCACCCCACAGATCCAAGAGGATATCTCATTTATAATTTTATTATACTCCATAAATTTCAATACGGATGACAATTTTGGTTAAAATAACTCAACATTGCACTCTATCTAACCACACGGTTTTGTTGTAAAGAAGCCACACGGCAGCAAGTTCCACACATGTCTAGGCTTCTCACCACATTAATACTGGGAGTGATGGTCTAAACGGTACCAAGGGAATAAGTAGGAAGAGACAGGCACAGATGGTGGAAGCCAAAACTCATCTGACACAACAATATGAGAAATGACAACTGCAAGATCGTCGCCCTGCAGACCCGAGAGGATATCTCATAATTTTAATCCAATTCCATACTAACCCCCTCCAATTATACTCCCCAAGACTTCATTATCGATTGCAAATTTCGTTTCAACTACCTAGGACTCATAGGCATAAGACCTGAAACTGAAACCTTCATGATTCATCAATGAAGATTGTTACACAATAAAAAACTTATATTGATTTTCTAAAAACGGACGAGGACATATGGATGTTTTGAAAGTATTTTAATGCTCCTGTTATTTAAACAAGTTATATTATAAAACAAACAGGTCGAGTTGCTCGTAATCATGACGAACGCCACAGTGGTTTTTGTAACAAGATGTTTTTTGTATATTTTTCAAAATCCATTTTAAGTAAATGATAAATATGCTTCTTTTTGGTTTAATATTCGTTTTACACGAAAGAACGGCGGTCGATTTGAAGAATGTTAAGATGGAAGAGTGAAACGACCGCAAACGGATGAATGCCGGCGCATTTATTTTCTTCGAGGTTTTCCGATTGAAAGAAAAAAACAAAGGGCCTTTTTTGTTTAAAAGAAACGCTTATTCTGAAAAATAAGTTCTACCCTAATTAAATCATTAATTAAACACAGACTTGCCTATGAGTAAGGAAGAAGGTTAAAATTCAAAAGAGCTCTCATAATAGTCGAAATAAAGTTATAATCAAATGAATTTACTCACTTTTTCCGCAGCGGCGTTGGCCATCTTTCTAAAACAGTTAAAACAATTTCTAATTGTCTTCTTAAAAACGAAAAATAATAAAATTGTAAAAACGTGCTAAAACCTCATTTATTAGGCTGTAGCACAGCCTCTTGTATTGGGGCGAGGAAGTGAGGTTGCTTGAAGAAAGGTGGAAAAAGGCGATTTCCGACCTATGTAGAAGCCAGCGACGCTGACTCTGCATCCACTGCCACGGATGGGGGATCCTTTTTCATCTGAATATTTTTCAACTTTTTTCCGATTTTCTGGACAAATTCCGTGATTTAATTCCTGTCATTTTCATCGATTTTCCTTAAAAAATGTCGAGCTCGAACTTACCGTCTACCCGCCAAAATTCAAACGCGAAACTCGAAGGACGTGAAGAAGTCCCTTTTCGTCTTGGCAACACGCTGCTTAAAAAAGTTCCCATTTAAAGTTTTTGAGTATGTCTTGACATCTACAAAAAGTGGAAAAATTTGTTGGCATAGAATTTTATTAATTTATTTGTAAAAAAACCAGAGGATTTCAAGGACAGATATGATGTTTTAAAATTATTTATATTTATTCGGAGATCGTGAGATGCAGTAGATCGCCTACAAACACCACATATTATTTATATTACATATCGCACAACCACAAGAAAAGTAACACAACTAAAAAAAAGAACATTTTATAGGAAAGTTAGATGGAAGTTTACTTTTTGGCTTATTTATTAATAATAATAATTTTATTTGCGAAAATACTACACTGTATTACTGTAATACAGTAAGATAAAAGATTTAAAAAATTTCATGTTAAAATAATAAAACAATAACTAAAACTTAAGTCATTTGACAAATCAGCAAATTTTCGGCTATCATCCAAAAGCAGTGCTTGTTGCAGGAGGCAGGAAGTATGTCAGTGAAAAAAATTGCTAAAGATGAACCGAATAAATAATAACCGACATGCGGACGTTACCGCTTTAATTGCAATCAGCCAAGGAGAATAACAAAGCGTACTTGATAAGGTGTAACAAAAAAGTAATGAACACGGCTTAAAACTAAATGTGGCAAAGGATAAATTTATGGTTATCGACAAGACCAATGATGTAGAAATCAAGATAGATGGTGTCACTTTAGAGAGGGTCAAAAGATTATATACCTAGGCAGTCATTTGAACCTGTGGAACCACTTTAAAGATGTAAAAGCAAGGGTAGAAAACGCAAAGAACGCATGTACTAAAATGAAAAGGGTATTACGCACTCTCAAAATTGATCTGGGAATAAGGATAAGAATATTGAAATACTACGTCAACTCATCTCTGCTATATTGATGGATTGGGAACAAACAGAAGCTTAAACCAATCCAATGAGCTCCCAAGGTGTATATGACAAAATAAATGAAAAAAAATAATGAAGAGAGAAAATAAAAATAAAATAAAATGCAATAAATTCAAATTAAGAAGAATTAAGATTAAATAACAATTAAAGAATGCAATAATTGTCATATGATGCCAAATATACCACAAAGTTCAAATATAAATTTAAAATTTTTACAGTAATAAATTTTTTGAAATCTTAATTTTCTAAAATTAATTTTATGATTGTAAAGAAACCAAACAAGCAAAAACTAGCATAACTCGAAATGTTGTAAAGAAAACAACATTTAATGAAAAATTAAAGTACAAATTAAAGTTCACTTTGGATATAAAAATATTAGTAATTACTTTTTGTCTTGTTTGTTACTCATTGTTTGATTCAGGAAAAAGTTGAGTAAATTAAATTACTCTTTTAAAGTACTCGCCATTGCAGTTGCTGACTATAAAAACTGTCTTGATCCATGTATATTGTCTTTCATTTGACCAATGTTTAAGGGAAAATACAAAAGTTTTAAAATTACAGCTGTATTGTCACTAAAAACTACCAGTTTTGAGGTTGTGTCACTTTTCTTGCATTTACTGGCTGTCGGTGTTTTATTTAAGTTAGGACGTTTGATCCAACGATAATGGTAGTCAGTGAATGATTGGAAGGGTATTAATTTTTGTGTAATAGTAACAGACAACGTATAGACCTAACAAACGAGCGTAAATATCCATATAGTAAGTTTAACTAAGATTTTGTTTGACCCAAATGTGCTTTCCTCCTAGAGTCAGGGTTAATTAGTATTTAAAATAAAAAAATTAATTATTGAAATAAAGGTTTTATTCATTAAAAAATATTGCAATTAAAACATTAAAAAATGTAAAAGTCAAAAGGCAACATTGTTGAAAAATTATTAAAAACAATATTATAGTTAAGAATGTTATTAAAATAAAAGAAATGAAACTAAAAATCAAGGTAAGGTCTTGAAGAAAAAATCAAATTCAATTGTTACTACCAAGCTTTCGACCTATTTTAAGTTCATCATCAAGGGCTGTATTAATTTCACATTACAAAAAACATATTTTTACAATTTGTTTTTCATAATGTGAATATGTGACTCCGGTAAGCATAAAATCCTTCATTAAACAAGCAAAAACTGGCATAACTCGAAATGTGCTACTTTTCCTGTTGAATTACACCGATACTGTAAAGCTCGGCACGGTTAGGGTCGTATTTAATAGGTATTTCCGTTAAAATGAATGGGATGTGTCTTTCTTTTCAAGAGAAGAGTGGTATCTTTCGATGCCTATGACAAAATACACGCCAAAAATCCAGTTTTGGGAAGAATTTGTCGAAAAGGAAAAAGTGGAGTCTTTTCCTGTATTAAATGATTTTTTTTAAAAGAAAAAATGGACCTTGCGGACGGCTTTTTGATTGAGAAATATGTGAACACCTTCCAAATTGGGAGATGTCCTTTGAGCACTACTTCTCCAGCTTAGCAGCTCCAGATTCAATGCTGCAAGACCATGAATGGTTGGTCAAGCCATTTTCAATTTTGACAAGGCCAACCAGTCTATCTTCAAGTGAATACGAATGTTCGATAGACATGACTTCAAATACGTTGAAATCTACTTTCATGTCCGATATTTACCCCGATTTTTGACTCCGACTGAAAAACAAAACCGCTCGTTAAAAAAGCAAAACTTGTTCTTCCATTTGCCATAACTTACCTATCCGAATCCGTATTTTTTACCAATACAGCCACCATAACTAAATACGGAAGCTGTCTAGATGTTGAACCGGACATCCGTCTCCAGCTATAAAAAATTAAGCCGAACTTACCCAAACTGTGTAAGCTAAAACGACCTCACTCTTCCCATTATTTCATTAATCATTCATGTTCAAATTATTACTTTTGAAACTGGTTCGAGTTTTACATAACTATTGCTTCCGTTCTGTCCGATTTGATTTTTATGTTCCGGATTTTGTATATAAAGTTAAGTATGTCAATCCAATGTCTGTCTTCATACTGATATCCTCCTCCTTCAATTACGATACCTAATTACGAATGGACCGGTTAATTTATAAAACTCTATTTTACTATATACTATAAGGATCTAATTTTAAATACTTGAATGAGAGGGGTCCGTCATGGATTTTGTTCTGTGAAAGAGGTCCGCTGGCAAAAAAGTTTGGGAAGCCCTGAACTTTAAACTTATCTGGTAGCAAGTTCTGTAACTCAGTCAAATCAGATGCAAAACGCCCTAAACATTGTCAAAAATGGTGTAAGAAAACATTATCTATTCTGTTCTAAGAAAACATCTCTCATACCCTTTACAATTTCCTATTTCCAAAGAACTTACTTTCTTACCTAGGTATTACACTTGATCAAAGGTTCAAATGAGAGCAAAGCCCAAAGTAAGCACTAATCAGAGATTATGTAGCAAAAACTGGAGAATAAACCCCAAGATGGCGTGTTGGTTATACACCATTGCATTTATGAAATTGTCCAGTTTTGACATTAAAAAAAAATCAATTGATTTTAATGCAATTTTGAAATATTGTTGTCATAAATGGAAAGGCACAGGCGGACCAAATAGCCAAGGAAAAAAGCAGCCTTCTCACCCATGAGACCGGAACCACAACTAAACGTACTGGAGTGGGTGCTAAAGTTGGCATTTGAAAAATGTTTTTAGAAAGAATAGCTCAAGTATTAAACAAAAAACTAGATATGAGGCAAGCTAAGACATTTATAAATCTCTCAAAAAGAAAGCGAAGGAACACCTAAACCAACTCCTCTCCCTCAGCAAGCAGGCTTTTAAGGAAAATTATAGACCTGGTCTGTCAGACGCCTTTCAGCATTATGTACTTTCCATCTGTTGTTTATTTTTCGTCCTGTCTATCCGATATATTTGTTTCTGGATTCACATGTTATGGCATATAAGCCATTTTTATCAAGTAGTTTGGTTTTTTCTTAATATTTTTTCCCTTGTCCAGCGTGCAATGGTTTGTATTGTTTCAGTTCGTTGTTGTGTTTCTCTTTTATAAATGGTACTGATTTTAGACTATCTGTCATGTATTTTAGAGCTGTCAATTATGATTCGGCTTGTATGATGTTATCATGCTGTTGGTTTTTTGCATATGTCGAATTGTATTTGTTGTTAGTTTTAGTCACTGTTGGGCCTAAAAAATGTATACTGTTGTTTTCTATTTCTACTGTGAATTTTATGTTTTTGTGTAAAGAGTTAACGTAGTCTGTCAGTATGTGGTTTACATTGATATTTTTGACGTACTATTTCATCAACGTATCTGTGTTATGTTTTGCCAGTCAGGTTTCGAATTCTCGCCTTCTTCAGATGTGATTTATTTTTTAGTTGAACTTTTGTTTTTTTTAATCAGTATTAATATACGGCCAAACAATTTAAACGAATTAATATACGATTTATATTAGGTTACTTAATTTAATGGAGAGTAAAAGGTTGGAACTGCGAAGAACATTTGTTACGGTTTCCTCCGGAACTTAAAAATTATCCACGGTTGAAATTAGACAACTAACCAACTCGACCGATCAACCGTCAACCAATACACACCTCACACAACTATTTTATTTGTTTACACCTTTTATAGGTTCACGATTATGCCGGTTGTGTTTTTTGGTGGTAAAAATTTGATCTTAACGAAAGGTAAATTTCGGCTAAATAGGTCTCGAGATTTTAGAAAAGAAGAATATATAAAAAGAAAACAATATGTAATAGAATTGTTAGGTGCAATTAAAAATATAAAAGGAAGCATGGAGGTGAACTGAGAAATCACGGGGTCATGACGGTT